ATCCAAAACAGTCCAGTGGAGCGGTGGGTGTTGCCTTCTGACACACTTCCGCTGATGTCAGGGTGTGTGGCATATGCTAATGAGTTATGCTAATGAGTTATGCTAATGAGTTCCTGCACCTCTTTTTCTACAAAATGACCCCTGGGGCCAATTCAGAAATTGAATAAATAATAATAAAATGAACATTCAATAGCATCACAGTTGGAGCCAGCAGGTAAGGCTTACCTTCAGTATTTATTTTAAACAATTGTGGGAGGGCCATGGGGAGCGAAAGGAGACTTTAACCCTCCCCGTTCCCTGCCATTTTCTCAATGGAAAAAGCAACCTATGAGCTGTTTCATTCAACTGCAGAAAGCTGACAGACACTCCTATTCCTCTACCACCACCCTCATCAGAGGTAAAAGCAGTTCAGGGAGGATTTTCTTCTACAGAGAAATGGCAGGGGATCCTGGCAGAGGAATTTCCAAAAGGGAGGGTGGGAGTTTCCCTTTTTATAGTAACCACGAAGCAGCAAATCATGAAGCCAAAAAGAAAGAACAAAGAAAGATCTGCTTTCCCCCAGGCTAGTAATTGATAAATTTTTAAAAAGCCACTCAGCCAAGAAAACAGCTCCACCTGTTTAATTTCCGCCTGTCATATTAAAGAACCCTTGGTCTTTAATATGACAGGCAGGAATTAGACAGGTCTGGCTGTTTTCTTGGCTTAGTGGCAACACTCGCCATGACCCAGCCTATCTTCCAAACGAACCCAGGAGTCCCAGACCAGACTTTTGACAGACAGCACAAAACTCAAGGTGGGAGAAGAAAGAAGGTTGCTAGGCCGATTAGCGCCTCATCCTCTCTCCTCCCTTTCCTATTGGCTGCAGGTGTTTTCATTCCTATCCTCTTCCCCCCCCCTATTGGCTCCCTAACGCCCGCCTCTCTCCAACGCCTCTCTCTCCCAACAACGGCCACCCCCCCTCCCTTCCTTTTCCCCAGGTAACGAGATGCCTGCGGGCGATTGGCCGGGGCACAAGTTCCTATCCCCTCTGGGGATTGGCGCCAGGTGAGGGCGGGGTCGAGGCCAAGAGGCCGTTGCGTCGCCTTGTCGACGATTGGTCGGCAGGTGCGGGCCAGGAGGCGATCTCATTGGGCGCCGGCGTGAGGGATGGTTTGGAGTCCGCCATGTTGGCGGGAAGAGGCGGAGTTGCGCTGCTGGCGGGCTGGGGGCGCGGAGGGAGGTGGGAGAAGGTGAGGGCTCCGGGAGCGCGCGCGCTCGCTCTTCCTCTCTCTCTCGGGCTTCCTCGGGATAAGGGAGGTTCGCGACGCGGGAGGGGGCGAGGAAGGGGGAGGCTCGGCCCTTAGGTACCGCTTCGGGAAGGAAGAGGCGGGAGAAGGGCTGTGTGACCCAGCCTTCCTCCTTTTCTCTTCCTCATAACTTCGCCGCAGAAGTTGGAGCAAACTTCAGCGGGTGTGGAGAGGAGAGCGAGAAGCGAGACAGGAGGGAGAGGGATTCCTGTCGGGGGGGGGGAGAAAAAAAGGAGGGGGAGGGATTGCTGGCGGGGGGGGGGAGAAACTCGCTTCCTTCCTCTTTAAAGTACGTTTATTTTGTGTTGGGGGGGGAGTAGTAGTTGAAAGGGGGGGGCTGGAGAAAGGCGAGCTGTTCTGAGGAGGCCAATTTGTGTGGCCGGTGTCGTTTTGGGGGCAGGGCGAGCCCTTTCCTTTGATGCAAAAGGTGGTGGTGGAGGATAGTTTTGAAGTTTGCCTCAAAGGAAAACTGGACAGCTCCCCAGCACCCCACTCCCCAGAAAGTGATTAATGGTGGTGTTAATGGGGAACCCATTAAAACCAGGGATGAATGGGGAAGGGGTTCTTTTGGTGGGTGGGTGGGGGAAAGGGATCTGGAGGGAGGGGCCTGGTGGTGGGAAGGTGACCCTGAAAGACCGTCGATTGCCCTATAATATTGTAGAAATGTTTGTCCCTGAAATATTGTAGATTTTTTTTTGTGAGCGATCGGGAGGAGAGAATTGGTGGGAGGAGGAGGGGTGGGATTCAGGAGGGAAAAGGCTGCGCTGAAATCATTTTAAGACTTCTTTTCAAGTTCTCATGAAGTAGCGGTTGTGGCTTTCCTCACTCGATTCCTGCCTGAAATAACTTTATTCGATTTCTTTGTTTTGCTTCTCAGACAAAAATTTTTTCATACCAGCTTGCGGAAATTTAAAATTCAGGGTTGCTTGTTGACAGCGTTATATGTAAATAGTACACTTTGGGTATGTGTGTGGGAGGGGCAATTAAGAAATGGGAGAGGAATTCTGGGGGGGTGTGAGTGAGTGGGTGGGAGTTTGTTGTATTACCAAGCAGTTTGGAGACTATTTTTTGGAAGCGGAAGCTGCCCCAGGTTATGTTCTTTGATTAATTTCATGTCAGCAGGTGAAGTGTTGAGAAAAGGCTGAGAAATTGACGGTGGTGCTATTTATTAGCAGAACAGTAATTGTTTAAACAGTTTCTGTTTGGCTACTATCTCATAACTTACAGTGTTGTTGTTGTTGTGTTTTTAATCTTGCTGCTTGCCTGGAACTTGTCTCCCAAAGTGGTTCAGTGCCTCCTGCTAGCAGCACCATAATATAAATGGTACAAAGATGGTCATGGCTGTTTTAAAGAAAATACACGTTGGGGGGACTGGAGTTTGGTTTGATACTATTAGCAAGGGTCAGAAGACCTGTTTTGGTGCGTTAGAATGAAGGAGTTTAGTGTGTTTGTGTCAGAGGATGCCTCCACCCCTGAAATAAGTTTAAGGTGATAGTGGAAGGAACTGGAATCTGGATAGAGGGTAGACAGTTGGGTGGAGTTGATAGTGGTTGACTAAGACAAGTAGGAGCTGTAATTGGGAAGAATGTAGAAGGGGAAGCATTCTTCAGGGTTGCCTGTCTCAGTGCTTATCAGAGAGAGAACGGGTATGGAGTATGTAGAGGGTGAGAAGTACAGTCAAAAGAATTTGCCTGTCTACGGAAAACGAGGGACCTAAACTTGATGGTAAAAATTTTGGAAGAAGGCAGCATTCTTGAAGTGGTGATGGAATTCCCAAACTGAATTCAAACCTTGCATATGAAGAAAGCCTTAGAATAATTGCAGGGAGCCCTTTTGCTGTTATGCTTCATCAATAGCTCAACATTTTAACACACATGGTGTGAGTTTGAGGTGTTCCCTGTCAGAGTAGCAGTGATAAAAATGAAGACCTTTTGTCTTGAAACCTGCTAATTTCTAGCTTTCCAAACTTTGTTACAAGACCATTTGAGAATTCTTTCTTTAGGGCCCTGGATGTGATATGTCAGAAAGAACATGAATGTATATATTTTTTTTCCAACTTAGCTGCTAAATCTGCTCTTTTGTCTTTGCAGTGCCGGGAAAACTGTACCCAACAAGATGTATTTTCCTGGGTGGAGAAATGTATAGCTTCCCAGAGTACTTTCTGACACAGAGAGATAATTTCTCATATTTGTAGAGTTTTATCTGAAAGGTGAATTCATATCCTTTTAAAAAAACATAATGACACCCTGTAGAATATGCTGTATGTCATATATATATATATATATATATAGCAAATAGCAGCGTGGGCCTTTGTCTAGTATTTGAAAGGGTGACTTCCAAGGATTACCAGGGTTGTGATGCAGAGGCAGGCAATGGCAAACCACCTCTGAAATGTCTCTTGTCTTAAAAACTGGTCTAGCTCACCACCTAGTGGTGCACAATGCTAAAAAAGCTATAACTTGTGGTTGCCAGACACTCTTAGTATCTCCTGGCTATTCTATACACAATGCCATACAATAATTAAGTAATCATATATTACAATGGGAGGGAAGGAAATACGCACAGCTGTGGCTGTGATTCAGTTGCATAAGCATTAATACTTTGCCTGAACCTGATCTGCAGCAGAAAAGAGCAAGAGTCCAGTAGCATCTTTAAGACTAACAAAATATGTGGCATGGTATGAGTTTTCGTGAGTCACTGCTCACTTCTTCAGATACAGCTAGAAGTGAATTGTGCAGTGACTCACGAAAGCTCCTGCCCTGCAACCAGTGTTCCTTCTAAGCTGAGTTAGTGTGAGCCAGCTCACAGTTTTTTAGCCTCTGGCTCACACGTTTTTGTCTCAGCTCAGGAAGAATGGCTCCAGAACAAACTAATTTATGCAGTAGCCAAATTGCTCACTCACAACTTTAATGCCAGTAGCTCACAAAGTAGATTTTTTGCTCACAAGACTCCACAGCTTATAGGAAGTATTGCCTGCAACATATTTTGTTAGACTGTAAGGTGCTACTAGGCTCTTGCTCTTTTCTACTGCTACAGACAGACTAACACGGCCATGCATCTTTATCTGATCTGCAGCAGGTACGTTTTACCTTAAGTACTGTAGAAAAAGCTAAGAATCCCTTATGAACCTGCCTGACCATTACAGTCATCTTCAGAGGCCTTACTTCAGGTGCCCTCATCTTCTAAGTAGGCGTGTGGCAACCCAGGACAGGACCTTCTCAATCATGGCCCCAGAGCTCTGCAACTCTCTCCCCCTGGAGTTTTGTCTGACCCCTTCTGCCATCTTCCACCAGTGGGTGAAGACTTTTTTTGTTCTATTTGGCATTCTGTCAATGATCCCTCCTTCCTAACTAATGTTCTTATGTTTTGTATGTATTTTAACTCTGTTTTTTAGCACTGTTAAAGTTGTTTTAATGACATGTTTGGCAGAGGATTGATTTTAATGGTTCAGTTCTGTTTTAAACTGTTAGCAGCTTTAGCAGCCCTTGTAAGGGCAGAAAGGTGGGATACAAGTTTTGTAAATAAATAAAATGAGTAAGAATGCTGCCTTCATAGAAAACAAAGGAAGTTCTGGAGGGAGGGAGAGAGAGTTGTTGAGTAGTTTTGGCTAGGTCCTTCTCAAGAAGATGTGCAAAAAAATTTCTTTCTGATGCTCTATTTCAAAACATAAGAAAAGTTCATGGCCAACATGGTCTGTAGATATGGAAGAGAGAACTCTTGACAACAAAACTATTTCTCACTTGTATATTTTATAACAAGTTTGATAGTAATTATTGTGAGAAGTAGAGGTATCAAATTCTGGCCACAATTTTACTTTCTGAGACTTAGGATTTAATATTTGAGCAGGGGAACAAGATCATGCAGTTACTCTAGAATAGAGCAACTTATGCTTAAGTGGGTGTGTTTTTAAAAGAACTGCCTTAAGTTTCAAAACATTCACAGGTATATGTAGTAGGTTATTTAAGAAGCTTTCGTGAAACTTTAGCAGTCCTATGACAAGATAATGAGGTCACAGTACTGGAAAAACATGAACACAAATTGCCACATTAATTAGTTCAGCCTCTTGTCTCTCTCTGCTGATATTTGTGCCAGTTCAGTGCTGTATCTATCTGTGCTTCTTCCCAGCTGTTCTGTTTTTTCCATATTTATATGTTGGTGTTTTTTTTTGCTGTTCATGCAGGGTGATGGAGAAGAAAAAATGCGAAGCTTTAACTTATACGACTCCTTATGGTTACTAATTTCTTCTGAATGATTTCGGCAACAGGCCTATGAACCCGGGAGTTGACTTCCATTTTGATCACTGCTCAAGTACCATGCCGAGCAGAATGGGATCAAAAATGAATCTGAAGAGAGATATCATCAGAGTAAAAACTCATTATAATGGGTAAGTTCTATAATTAAGGCTTTTTTATTCTTTGTTTTACTCATCCTCTAAACTTTTTGTTTAGATCTTGTTTGTCTACAGTGCATTTTGTCCTGCTTTTGGATGTACTTTTATCCACTTCCCAAAGACTGTGATGCTGACATTGTGAACTTTGGGAGGAAATGCCAGCTGGCGTGGTTAAAACATGAATAACTTGGTGTCCTGAATGAACCCAGTTTGGTAAAAGAAATTTGGGAAGAAGCCTGGGGCATTCAGTATCTAGAGAGGTCTAGATGAGGGAATAAGGCGTTCATGATCAAAGTTATTTCTGACTAAATGGCTGTAGGGTAATAAATAATGGGTAGGCAGAATGTCCAGTGCAATGTAAGCTTGGTTTTGTGTGAGCCCAACCTAAGGAATTATATTTCTGCTTTGGACAATTTACCCTTCTTCCTTATTTCTAACAGTGTTTGAAGCATCTCTGGTTTTGTTGTATTTGGGTGAAAAAAATCACTTGCTCTGCTTATGGCACTAGTTTCACAGTAATTACTATTCTGGCCACAGTGCTTTTATTGTGTTGCTATAAGAATGTACTTTGCACACCTGCCCTTGCAGCTCAGATTACAATTCAGCCTTGAAAATCTAAATATCAGTCCCTGTGACTGAATGAAACCGGCAATCTGGCAAAAACACTTTTGCTACTATATCAGTACGTCAATCTGGTATAAGGCCACTGCAGAATAGTAGTGGCATGTTTGACTTTGAACTGAGGTACCTGTTGGTACACCCCATCTCATGCCCAGTCGGTTACAGCTAGGCAAATCTTACACCATCATGACTGAGAGCATAAGGATAGGTGATGCAGTGTATTGGTTATGAGAAAGATCTGTGGTCCAGATCACTGATTCAAATAACTTCTCAGCTCAGTAGAGGACCTTAGACTGCTTCTTACTATCTGACAGGCATGTATGTGGGTCAGAGGTTTCTCCACTCATTGTTTTCCAAAAGTGGCCTGTGGCACCTGAAATTCCCAGGTGGTCTCCCATCCAGGGACTGGTTGCGACCACCCTATTTCAGCCTTCCGCATCTGAAATTTGTGGGTAACGGTAGCTTCCCTTACAGTAATATGGTAAGGGCTAGTATGATATATAAGGAGTAGTCTGAACACTGAAAGCACTACCCAAATACTAAGTAGTATTTCCTTGTGCATCCTTCACATTATTTTTGGTGTGTTCAAATGTTGTCAGTGTGGGGAGAGAAACTACAGGAGAACAGTTCTTACATGAAATACGTATTCTAGCTAATAGAGGATTCACACATGCTTTATAGGTCAGTTTTCACCAAAAATTACTTAAGCATACTATGTGAAAATGTCCTTGGTCCACCTGTAAATTGGGTCAAACCAGAGTGATTAGAGGTTAATTGAATAGTCACTAGGCTTCCTAGGTATGCAGTGACATAGGTTTTTGCCAATTGTTAACAAGTGTAGTTGGTACCAGACATACTTTCACATACTTCCAAGTTTGTATGCATGTGAAACTGTTTCGTTTCTATTGCTTAAAATACTGATGTAATTCAGTTTTTATTTATGAGCTAGGTGCCTTTCCCCCTCCTGTTTCAGTTCTGTATAAAATGGGTCCAATGTAAAAACTAGCACATAGCAAAGTCTTGTTCAATTGAAGTATGGGTGAATTTTTAACAGCAGAATGTACCGACCTTACAGAGGATTGATACCTAATGTCCAGATTGGAAGCACAATGATGGGGGGGGGCAGTCCATGCTACCTCACCTCTCCCTCTGATTCAGCCAGGTGGAATAGGCACAGATAGGAGCAGGTTCTGGGAGGGGAGAGGTTGAATTGACTTGTAAGGCCAAAGCTGCATGATGCATTTTATGGCCCCGGTCACACGGGCCGGATATTGCGGGGGGAGGCGTGGCTAATTGCCCCGGTGCAGTTTGATCCGCGAATACGCGATCAGACGCGCTGGCGGCACACCACGGGTCCTTTCCTCGGCAGGTAAACAAGGGACCGGAGGGGAATGCCATGCGCCGGCGCGATCACACCATGGGAGTCTGGAGGCAGCCCGTGGCAAATGTTTACTAGTACTTTGGAGATACTACTTTTTTTAACGTGCGTTTTCGGTGGTAAGCCACGGGTGCGCTCCACTTCCCAGATGTTGGGGTGTGATCGCGCCCGGATAATCCGCCCACCATCTGTGCCTCTCCCGCGGCAACTTTGCCGTGTGACCGGGGCCATTAGCTGGCTACTGCCAGAAGCAACAGACCTGTGTCATTCTCCCCCTCTCCTTCGATGTTTTTAGTAATGCAGACCTTTGATCATAGAGTCTCTGTGCACTGCAGATAGTGGACAGTCAAGTGTGCGTGGAAACACACTCAGTTACGTGTATTTCTAGCCTAAGCCCAATTGAATTAAATGCAATGGGAGTGATCTTCAAGGAGACAAAGCACGTACAATCTGGACTGTATTTCTATGCACATGCTCTGAGTTGTACTTCTGGGGCATGTTCCTATGCTCTCAGTTTTTAAAACTTTGAAGTGTTTCTCACCCAGAACGAAGACAAATGTAAATTGTGGTGGTTGGTTACTTAGCCAGTTGAAACCCAATCCTATTACATATTTGGGAATAAGACACATTGACTTCCATGGTGTTAGTTTTGAGCAAACGTAGGTATGTTTGGGCTGACACTAGTTCAGCCTTGTGTTTTTCAAATGGCAGATAACTATATTTAAGGGAAAAAAATCTTGTAACTCTGCTTGTGTTGGAGGTACTGTTCAGAAACCGTAATGGCAAACCTGATATTAAAATGGGGGGAAAATCAGACCTTATCCCACGTTGTGCAGTGTCATTGGAAACATTGCCCATAACTCACTCGAAAGAACTTATGTGGGAAAGGTTAAGGCGCTTAGGGCTTTTTAGCTTGGAGAAACGACGACTGAGGGGTGACATGATTGAGGTTTATAAGATTATGCCTGGGATAGAGCAGGTAGAGAAAGAGGTACTTTTCTCCCTTTCTCACAATACAAGAACTCATGGGCACTCCATGACATTGCTGAGCGGTCGGGTTAGAACGGATAAAAGGAAGTACTTCTTCACCCAAAGAGTGATTAACACATGGAATTCACTGCCACAGGAGGTGGCGGCAGCTACAAGCATGGACAGCTTCAAGAGGGAATGAGATAAGCATATGGAGCAGAGGTCCATCAGTGGCTATTAGCCACATGGTATAGATAGGGGCTCTGGGGCAAGTGATGCTCTGTCTTCTTGGTGCTTGGGGGGGGTCAACAGTGGGAGGGGTTCTAGTGTCCTGGCTCCACTGATGGACCTCCTGATGGCACTGGTATTTCTGGCCACTGTGTGATACAGAGTGCTGAGCTGGATGGGCCTTTGGCCTGATCCAACATTGGCGTCTCTTACGTTTATGTTTATGAGCTGTAAAAGTTAAAGCAGAAATCCAATAAATAAATTAGTAAAAAAGAGCAAGAGTCCAGTAGCACCTTAAAGACTAACAAAACATGTGGCAGGGTTTGAGCTTTTGTGAGTCACTGCTCGCTTCTTCAGACTCAAGAAAGCTCCTACCCTGCCACAAATTTTGTTAGTCTTTAAGGTGCTACTGGTCTCTTGCTCTTTTCTACTGCTACAGGCAGACTAACACGGCTACCCGTCTAAATAAATTAGCTTAGCCTTACCTTAAAATTGAGCAGGTGTGTAAGTCTAAGTTTGTAAGTTTTCTGGTATTAAAGCTTCATTTATTTTAAAGTGTGGGAATAATCCGAAGTCTATTAGGGAAAAAAGTTAAAAAAAATGTTCCTGGTTTAAGTGGAAGGTTAAGAACTAGAACAGCAGCAGTGGGCTAGGGAGTATGTTGAATGTATCTGTTCTCAAATAAAAACACTCTTTTTTGAACTGAAATAGGCAATTCTTAGTTTACTGGAAGTGAGTTGCAAGAATAAATGCGGCAGTGGAAGTGTTTTTCCTACAGCAGTGTGTTCAGTCACTTTTATTGTTGGTAAAGACATCTGTTTAAAATGAAAGGTTTTTTTGTTTGTTTTTTTAGTTCTCTCAGCTCTATCAAATTACTGGGTCATTTTAACTATCCAGTGCAACAGAACACAGTTATTCTCAGTAGGAAAAAGGGGTAAATCTGTCATCTGTGAGTTAGGGTTCTCTAATTACTCAGCTTTGATTTATTGATTATGCATAAAAGAATGTGTAAAATGCGGTATGACAGGATGCCGGTGCGTGCTGCGGGTTCTTGTTTCTGTATGATCAGGCATGTCAAACTGCAGGGAAACACCGATGTCAAACAACTGCAAAATTAGTGTCAAGAATTATTCAGGAAGTTGCTAAATAATTTAAAAGTGCCTGTCTGTTGATGATACAACACACCTTTTGGTGTGGATGATTAAACAAATAGCCCGTTAATATAAGCATGAGGAAGTTATAAAGTTCAAGATAGGTAATGTGTCTCCGTGGAATCCAGAGAGGACAGGTATTTGTCTATCTTGGGTGTGACAGTGTTTAAAGTAACATAAGTGATCGTCCTGGATGACTGAAGTATAGGCTATATTTGTGAAATCTTTTATGCATAAAGGATTCTTTGCTGATTTGCTTGGGTTATGTGCAGTTCTTTGAATTCTTCTTAGTTAAACCCTGTTGACTGAATTAATCAGGAATGTGAGCAATGCTATTGCTAACAGTATGTACTTCAGTGTTACACCTCATGAGGGAGTCTGTCTGAAAGCCTGGGTGAAGGCAAGGATTTTTCAAGTGGGGTTAAAGGTCAGCAAAAGCTTCTGGTCTGTTACCAGGATACAGATAAGCCATGATGTAATTGTAGAATTTAGTGGCCTTGGGTCTATGGAAAAACAAGGTGTCACTTTTTAAAAAGAGTAAGTTGTAGACAAGTTCAAAAGGTTATCTGTAACACTTACCGTTGGCTTCAAAATAATATTCACATATCTATCATTTTCCAACCCCATGCTGCACTGATTAGCTTATGTCTGTTCCTTTAGCCATACAGATGTTCTGCTTACCATCTCATTCTAGGAGTTTCCCATCCTGTGCTGGCAAACTGCTGGAGTTTACTAGTGATACTGCATACTCTAGGATGACTTTTTACTGTTTATCGAAGGAATGTAGTAACTCCTGAGATGTTATCAATCAGTGTCAGAAAGGATTGAGTTACCAGGCTTATTTTTGCCAAGGCCTTTTACTGATGAATGATTTTAAAAATTGGTTGAAATTTTGTTGGCCTTGAGATCTGTTAAATGTCACAATGTTCTGACATGTTAATGGGCTTCCTAAAATCTCAATAATGAAAGCTTCACAATTTCCGTAACCATACATCTGTGCATGGATTTATTAAATAATTTGCACGTGCGTTATATTCTAGCAAAGTAGTAAAGTATTTACATATAGGGTATCTTCTTCAACTGCACATTGCCTTGTGAACCACTGTGTACATCTTGATGTGCTTCTGTCTCTGCCTTTGAAATTGGGAAGAGTCATGTTTTCAAATTTGTGATAAAGCATTAGCAATAACTGACTAAATAGAGGATTGTCATATATACACTTCTGCCATGAAGGTTGTATGCAAGTTAAGGCATGGAAATTAGTCTTAAGTTCCTGTGTTGCATGTGCATTTAACCTTGAACGTTACCTATCTGCTGCTAGTTGGGTGGACAAATAAATAACTTCAAGAGTAGTCACCTTTAGGTTGTGTGTCTAGGCTCTGGTTATATACAGTAGTGTTGGGGAAAGCCTGTGAATCTATTTCAGGGGGAAATAAATAGAGAAAGCAGCAGTTCATGTTCATAATGTTGTTTAAAGGCAAACTAACTGCTAGGAGCCCTGACCTGGATAGCCCAGGTTAGCCTGATCTCATCAGATCTCAGAAGCTAAGCAGGGTTGGCCCTGGCAAGTGTTTGGATGGGAGACTGCCAAGGAATACCAGGGTCATGATGAAGATGCAGGGTGTGTCAAAAAACCACTTCTGGACATCTGAACATGGGGTCACCATACGTCGGTTGCGACTTGACAACAAAATACAGCAACAAGAAAAAACTGCTAGGAACGTTTGAGACTTCTTTTAACCTTTCTTTGCGGAACTGATGAAAACAATATCCCATCAATTTAGCACTCCAGTAAAAAAAAAAGTCTGTGGGATAGCTTCGTTTCCCCTCATTCCTTAGCATTTCCACTGGGGCACCTTCTTAAAGCTGCATGAAGCCATGGTTTGTGATGTGTCCTAACCACTTCCTTGCCAGTGCAGCAAGTATTATGATCAATCATAAACATTGCTTGGGAGCAGTGTTCCCTCTAAGCTGAGTTAGTGTGAGCTAGCTCACAGTTTTTTAGCCTCCAGCTCACAGATTTTTGTCTTAGCTCAGGAAGGATGGCTCCAGAGCAAACTAATTCATGCAGAAGCCAAATTGCTCGCTCACAACTTTAATGCCAGGAGCTCACCAAGTAGAATTTTTGCTCACAGGACTCCACAGCTTAGAGGGAGCCTTGCTTGGGAGGTCTTGAAATGTGAACCCACTAGGGACCCTGCATCTCTGTGGGTCCATTTTTGTTAAGGAATGTGGTCTAAAGAGAGTTGTAAGTACCTGCTCATTTCTGGGAATTTTAATTTCTTTCAGGGATATCCTCATAACAAATCTGGGAGCATCCATGAACTATGATGAACTTTGTGATGAAGTGAGAGAGATGTGCAATTTACAGCAGGAACAACCAATTACCCTTAAATGGATCGACAATGAAGGTATTTTAGACTTGCGTAAATATGCTTTTTGCCAATATTTATCTCGGGTGCATTGTTGAACATAATTACTTGGATGTGATAGAAACATTAAATTGAAAGGCTTTAAAAAAAATCGCTTCAATATCAAGGGAATGTGACCCTATTTCAAACAGAACTTTTGAATGAATATAATCTGGATAATCAGCACTGTGTTGTACTTCGCGTCAGTTCCTTCTTACAAGTTCAAGTTCACTGGCTTAGCAATGTCTTCTAATTCTGATCAATGTATGAAACACGTACTCCCTTTATAAATATTATGTACATGCTCCTTCTCAGCGTAATCCCTGTGAGCGCAAGAATCCCCATTAGGGCATAGCAGAATCCTGTTTCCTCTTCACCCTGTACTTTCCCCTTGACATGCTACAGGCCTCTGATTTCCCATAATACTCTGATACAGCATTTCCGTGTGTGTTTGGGAGCAGGGAGATACACAACTCTGTATGGGCATCTCCCCAAGTGCCCTGCTCTTGTGTAGGAAAGGATCCTGCCCATTATCTTTCCTCACATGTCCTGTTCCATCAAGAATGCATTCTACCAGTTTATCTGGTGTTGAAGTCAAGGTTTTGCTCTGTTTACTTGTTTGGGAATGCTAGCATACAGTAGAGACAGATCATATAATTATGATGTGCATTTCTTAATTTGATCAAGGGCGTATATTGCTTAACAGATACAGCTTCTCTAGTCCCTTTTTGTATGCTGCTCACAACATTTTGTAAACAAGCCTCGTAAATACCCTTGTTTTGCTGGGAATTTAGAATAATTTTATGGGAAGGTAAGTAAACACAGATGTACGATGCCTCAGTTAGATTATTTGTTATTGTAGCTGCTGAAAGCAGGTATCTCTGAATTCCAGTAGACAAGCCCTGCGAACGGCACCGGATACTGAGTGAAATGGAACTCTTCCAAATCCTGTGTCACAGCTCTGTGTCTGCTTATTTTGTTCTTGCTCTCAAGATGATGCTTCCCCACCACTGTGGGGGAACCGGATATGGTGTTGTCAGGCATGTGATTCTGTGATTTGTTTGTGCAGAACACATGAAATGGGAATTTTAGTATCTCTTTTTGATCAGTAAACCTTTTTCCAGACACCCAGGGTAAATTTTAAATGATTTAAATATTTTAGCAGCTACCTTGACTAGTACAAGTGTGAACAGCGCTCCTAATAATTTTCTGTATCCTACTGTGAAAGGTTCCCCAAATATCTGTGCCAGTGAAAGCACCAAAAGTAGCTCTTATTTGTATGACTGCAGTATTCACTCTAGAGGTTAATCCTGTATGTACTTCAGCTGTGCTGTGCTTGGCTGCCTCTTTTTAAAAGGTATTTTTAAAGCTGACAGGCTTTACATGGGCGACACTGTTCTCTTCAGTGCTTGCTGGGTATTCCCAGAGAACAAGGAAGATTTAGAAAGAAGCACCTGTTAACATTGACCAAACCTCTTACTCAGATGTTTTGGGGTTGGTAGGGGAGTCAGTCCTCCTTAAGAAAAGCTAGGAGGGAAGGTCTGAAGAAACAGTTCTGACACTCTTCGTGCAAGTTCATGGGTAACTGCTGTTTGAAACCTAACACTTTCCTGGAAATGAAGAAAGAAGCATTTTTCCTTTCATACCTATTTCATAGTGAAATGGTAAGGTTTCTGAGGCCTTAAAGAGCCCCTTATTCCAGGGATATACCACCTGACATTCCTCCAGTCTTCAGCTTAGTAAAGAGAGAAGTGCTAGAGACTTCACCTGGTTACTGTTGAATTCTTTGGTTTATGTTTGAGAGAAGCTGGCTAGCTGTTCACCGCGTCACTTAGAGCAGGGCTGGGCAAAAGGTAGATAAGCATTCTTCCGCTTGGTACTAGGCTGGGTCCAAACCTCCTGACTCAGTAGTCATAGGGAGTCCTCATTGCCTAGTGCTTCTTGTCTTGAACGTAGCTCTTGGGGCAATCTTCTCCTCCCTTCCTGTTTTCCAGTTTCCCGTTTTCCCCTGCAAGGGCGGAACCCCATTTGCTAAGGGAAGCAAGTGCAGTTTTCTCTCTGTTCTTGACCAGGCTACAGCCGTTTCTTTCCAGAGTCAAATAGAAACACTGACATAAATTGTTGAGTAAAAATTAGCCATATAACCATCACTTCTGTCTTGGCCTCAATGTTCCTCCTCTGTAAGTCAGTGGTCTTCATTGGCAGTCTATAATCAGTAGGTTTTGGTGTTGGAATCTCAGATGTGAAATCTGTACCTATATGAGCAGGTGTCCTGTTCCCCCACCCACCCACAGAAGAAGAGATTGGATTTATACCCCGCCCTTCACTTGGAGTCTCAGAGCGGCTTACAAACTCTTTTCCCTTCCCCTCCCCACAACAGACACCCTGTGAGGTGGGTGGGGCTGAGAGAGCTCTGACACAAACTGCTCTTTTTCAAGGACAGCTGTGCCAGAGCTTGTGACTGACCCAAGGTCACATCAGCAGGTGCAAGTGGAGGAGTGGGGAATCAAACCCGGATCTCCCAGATTAGAGTCCGCACACTTAACCACTGCACCAAACTGGCTCTGGTTAGTATTTGGATGGGAGATGCCCAAGCAAGTCCAGGGCTGTTACGTGGAGGCAGGCAATGGCAAGCCACCTCCGTTGGTCTCTTGCTTTGAAAACCCTACAGGGTTGATGGCACTTCCCTCCACCCCACCCCCCAAGTATATGACTTACATATGCAGCCTGCAGTTGTGATTGGCTCTGCGGCTGCCTCATAGAGGGAGCTGCCTTGCAGTTGTGTCCAGCTGGTGCATTCCAGGGCTTTGACAAACAAGAGTTTAAATGTGAATTCTGCCTGCTAGGGCGAGTAACCCTCTCTCACCTGACTGTATGCCACCCTGTTCTCCTTGGAGGAAGGGATGACAGTGTGATGTGATAAAACAGTGCACAGCATCGCACTGATTTTCAGACATGTGCTTAAGCTACTTCACAAGCTCCCTTTTAAGACCAGGATCAAGAGGCGAGAAATGAGTGATAGTTTTCTTCTGTAAGTATTCATCCTCAGCTGACAGTCCTCTAACTTATAGTTTCTTTGAGATCTCATTCTGTACATTATATCTTTATTGTGGGGGGGAGCACATTTTTCTTAAATATCCTGGGATGACAAGAAACAAAGTTTTCCTGGTGTACAAGCATCTAAGACCTTTCATATCACTTCAGTGTTCTCCCAGCCCTTGGAGCCCAACAGTTTTCTTCTCCTTGGTCTCTTGTGCTGTGTTCAGTTAGAGAATTCTTTAGGAAATACTTAAAAGACTTTATCTTCGCATAATGACAACGGCGGAGCCTGCTGATTGTGCTGAACAGATTGTCTGGTGACTAGTCTTCCTGTCGGTCTGAACTAGAGCAATATAAAAGTTAATAATGCAGCAAAGATGTTCCATTGTTTGCCTTTTATCTGTTACCTCTCTTTTAATGTGCACCTTCCACGTCCTGGAGATCTAAAGACCCGAGCACAGCAATCTGCTGTTCTTGATAATTTGTATACAAGGGTTTAAGTTTACACAGCTCCCACTTAACATAAAAAGTGCCGAAATGCTAGGGTAATATATTGTTACTATTGCAATTTTGGTAAAAGACTATCTCTGGGAATCAAGGAACTGCATGTGGGGATTTGCAGTTAGGATGGTGTGTGCTTTTTAGCTCCCCCTTCTAGCAACAGCCTTCCCTCTACAACCCCTAAAAAGTAATCCTTGGCCCTGGTCACACGCGCAGGAAACTGCGGGGGAGAAGTGTGGCTGTTTGCCCCGGGGCAAACTAACACGCAGTAAAGTGATCATACCTCCTGTGGAGGTTCTGTGGAGGTACCGTGGAGCTTCCGTGGTTACGGAGAGGCGTCGATCACAACACATGCCTGCGCGCAACGAAGAAGCGCGCGGCGCGGCGAACTGGGTTTCTTTTTTTGTGTACACTACGAATGCGCATGCTCCGTCGAGTGCTTATGCGCAACCACGGAGACTTGGGGAAAAAAAAAACCTTCTTCGCAAGGGGACATGGACGGGCGCCGGATGCCACCGGAAACGCGATCAGACGCCCGCCCTTGCCCCGCAGTTTCCGGAAACTAGTACCTCCGAGGTACTAGTTTTTTGCTCCGTTTTATCGGCGGTTCGCCACAGTTCAACCACGGGAGCTCTACGCTCCCCAGATGTTGCCGTGTGATCGTGCCAGGTAACTCCGCCTCTCTTCCGTCTATTTAGCGTGGCTTCTGCTCCGTGTGAACGGGGCCAAAATATTGCAAGAGTGCTAATGTTTTAAGCATGTTTTTATTTTAAGTAAAAAAAATCTTTGTGTTTGTGTCCTTTATAAAGTTTATATCTCTGCTACCTGGGATTACATTTTATGACACACATGGCTTGGCCCAATAAGGTCTCATTCATGTCAGATCCGGCCCTCATTAATGTAATGACTTGTAATGTTCTTAGGATCAGGGTGTAAGTCTATCTGACAGGGGCCAAATGATTACAGCTTGCATATAGTATTACGCTAGTGTGATGTGTAGTGGATAGAGTACTGGACTAGGACCTGGGCTGGGAGTCCCATATTCAAGTCCCAACTGAGCTATAAATCTCTGCTGTGACCTTGGCCCAGTCACACTCTCTCAGCTAAAACTAAATAGGGTTGCTGTAAGGACAAAATAGGAAGTGGAATCCATGTTCACTGCCCTGAGCTCCTTGGAGGAAAGACAGGCTAAGACAGGCAGGTAGATCTTATATTAGCGGATATTACAACACCAGTATCCACAGCAATTCTTGAAGCATAAAGAAATAATCTGCTTTCAGCAGTCCAGCAAGGCAGATTACAAATCTCAATTCCTCTAGCAGAGGTTCAGGGGTTCACCCCAACGGAAAATCATTAGCACCCTGTAGCATACCCAGCTCCAAGTCTAACGTTTGACAAAAAAGGTAAGAAAAGCCCTCATTTTTAACCTCCTCTGGGTCACCTGGTCACAGGCACTAATTGGACCTTGCAACCAAATTCACCTGAGCCCAATACTGGGCAGAGGTAATTGAAGGTGGAGCTGATTGAGATCCACTTGCTCGGCAGTTGCATGGGAAGCCCAACCAGCCTCAGCTGTCCAAGGTCATTCCTAAAAAACAAGTCTTCACGAATCAGTGCTAGGCAACCAAAAGCTAATGGTCTACAGGTGACCTTATCAACACTTCTCCAGCTCAAGAATGTAAGCTAAGCACTAGCTTCTGCAAGGAACTACATACGATGAACCACTAAAAAAAGTAAGTATCCCCCCCAGTTAATACACACTCTGATCTCCAAGGCTTCTTATTTTCTTTCTTAAGAATGTGAGTTTTGGACCTGGCATTTAGTCTGGATTGCACAATTTTGACAGCGTGAAACCACAGCTGGTCCTATTCTCAATTTCTCTCTATGTTCTTTTGTTGTCAGGTGACCCATGTACCATTTCATCTCAGATGGAACTGGAGGAAGCATTCCGCTTGTACTGTCAGCAGAGGGATGAAGGGCTTATTATTCACGGCAAGTGTCTTGTCTGGAGATACCTTAACTGCTACAAGAAACACAGTGTTAGCAAATTACTGTGGGATAAATAAGTCCTGAGCTGGAAAAAACAGAATCCTGTGGCACCCTTAAATGCATTGTGGCCTAAGCTTTTTAAGGCCAGAATGTACCAACAGAAGTATGAAGTAGTAACCTGAGTGGGTGACTAGGTGTGAATATATGTGTACCCTGAATACAGAGAGAAGACAGGGAGGGATGTTGTGACTCACCTTTTTTCATTCACACCGAGTGCCTTCCACCCTCCACAACCTAACTCAGGTTTATTTATTGTTTCAACTTCAAGGTTCAAGGTTACAGGTAGGTCACATATGTTACTAGCCATCTTGCCACTTTTGACATGTTACTAGCCATCTTGTCTCTTTTAAAATATATAGAGAGCCATGATATTTCACATACCAGTTACTCCTGTTTTCTCCCAAAGGCACCAACAGACAGGGTAGCACAGAGCTATTGGGGTTGAGGACTCCATTCACAAGCTGTTTCATTCACATGCTGCCACCATTTATTCATATCCAAATATATATGTGTGTTTCTTTCCCTGAGACAACCAGCCCACAGTATTAAACAAACAAGGCAGTTAACTTTTTATTTCTGGTTTAAACATAACATTGCAATATGTCAGGTAGAGGTTACAAAGCTTCTTTTTAGTTTAACTTTTGAACTGTTTCCCTATTCCAGCATTTGGGATCCTTCATTACAAATTTACTCATTTCAGTAAGCTCTCTGAACAGCACTTCTTCACAGTTTCACTGAGCCAGACACCCTCTCGACTCTCTAACTGCTGTCTCCAATTCTCCTTAACTGCTGTTTTTCAACTGTCTCCCTTACAAACATTCTGACAGTTCCCATTGGCTGCTCTTAGGGAGAGGTGGAACCTAACCTGTCTTTACACAGTGAACCCAAAAGGGCAAACAGCACAAGAGGTTATATAGAGCACAAATGAAAATGAGTTGGAGCCAAAAGTGTGAAACATCTATGTCAAAATCTTCAAATTAGCAGGTTCTTGTCTAATAACTTGTTTTTAAAACTGGTGACTCTCAAGAGCTTGAGGCAAAAAGTCACGTTTCATGCTTCCTTTTTACCAGCTGTCTTTTAGTACTGATGATATATCGTGGAGTGCTGTTGCTAAAGCCTTTCTCTGTGGTTTCATTGCTGTATGGTCCTATGTTTCCCCTCCTTCCATTTTCTGTACTGGTTACATGTTGCTTTCATATAAAATTCTGAAACCTTAACAGAGTCGGTATCTACCTGTAAAATCTGTTTTGTTGAAATTTGGTATCAGGTCAGTGGATAGGCATACGTTGGGGCTGGATGGAGGGAGGGAAAAGTAGTGAGAGGAAAGAAGCATATATGAGAGCCATTCAGAAGACTGGTTCACATGGTTTAGAAGTGGGCCCTATGGAGAAAAATGAATATTATTATGTTCGTCTTAAATCTGGTGAATTACTCTAGTTTTACATTTTTCTCGTAAGTTTCCATGATAATATCCTAGGTGATTTGTTTGAAATCTGCCAGTACCATTGCTTTACATATATGTCCCCCTCTCTCCTTCTACCTGTTCCCTTTGCCCACCTTCTGTCATCTCCTTGGTTTGGGTTTTCTGCCCTCTGTGTGTTTCTCCATTTACCTCATTCCCAGAAACTGTCTCGCTCGCTGTCAAGTACCCTTCTTGCTTTTAAATATCTCCTTAGTGCTTGCTGCTTCTGCAAACGTTTCCTAGGTCACCAAAGTCTTGACTTCTTGTTGCCGTCTGGTATTACTGAAGCTTCACTTACTCCATCCCTGTTTCATTAGAAAAAAGGTCTGCTTGAAAAACCAGACGTCTTCAGGGAACTGAGTCCTTGTTCAGTAATTCTGAAAGTAATCAATAATTTATTTTCTAGAATGCGACTAGCTAGAAATGTCATTGAGTAATAATAAATGTGTTATTTTGTTGCAGTCTTCCCCAGCATTCCCGAAAAACCAGGCATGCCGTGTCCGGGCGAAGACAGTAAGTATCAGAAAGGGATACATTTGGATTTTTTTTTTTTGTTCCGTTTCACAGGATTGAACCCCGTCTTCTTGTATTTTAATTTTTTTGTTTTGTTTCTGTCCTTGAGTGTATTTGCAGTCTATTGCCAGGTATAAATCTTTCTTGTGAAAAGTAATGTTTAAATATAAGAACAGTGAAGAAAAAAAGGGCACAGTGTTTTAAAGGTAATGAATGATAATCCTTTTAACATCTGTGATAAGGCCATATTTATTGGCTTTTAAACTGAATCACTTAGCAGTCTAGTGGCAGTAAAACATTGTTCCAAATGCAGTCATGCTTCTACTTTTAACAGTGTGACTATTACAATAGTCTTTTATGGAAATGAAGTGGTCCAGAGTTTCAGTCACAGCTGCTAAACCAAAGTCTTCATTACTTTTTAAAAAAATGGTTGCCTTCAAGCTTTGGAAAAACAAAGTATGGATGGCAGTATGCTGATAACTACTGAATGTCAAGATTTGTGGATGAAGGCTAGCAAACTTAGCTGTTGACTGAGGAATTGGTATATTAATGCTCTGGCATTTCCAGTTGAAATGCAGTAGACTTACGTAAACTAGGGTTGCCAACTAGAGGTTGGGGAATTTCCCGGGTATTTGGGGGTAGAGCTTGGGGAGGGACCTCAGTGGGGTATACGGCCATAGAGCCAACCCTGCAAAGCAGCCATTTTCTTCAGGGGAACTGATCTCTGTGGTATGGAGGCAAGTTGCAATTCCAGGAGATCCTCCAGGCCCCACCTGGAAATTGGCAACCCTAGTGGGAACAGATTTAATTGTTGATTTGTGTCAACCCTGGAACACCTAATTAAAGATAACTTTTAAATGTTAACATTTGTGTCTGCACACTCTGTCTGATGCGTGATATATATGCTGGTTTTTGGTATCTTAAGTAGAGGAAAAAAATGGAAATGTTGCTGCTCCTAGTTAGTAGCCTCATCTCTGCTCAGACGGTACAGCAGAACCAGGGCCTGCCATTTAGAAAATCCTGTGCTCTTACGTGCTCCTTGTCTGCGCCAGTACCTTCCATTGTCTTTTTGGTTTGCGGTGGCCGTAACTTGCCTGAGAAACAAAATGGGAAACCTGCTTCAAGACTTGGTTGCGAGCTCTGATTTAGAGGCGGACTAGGTTTTAGCAGTACCCAGGGGTCATTTCGTAGAAAAAGAGCTGCAGGACCTCATTAGCATACCTAATAAGCTATTAGCATAATAGCTCATTAGTATATGCCACACACCCTGACATCACCGGAAGTGATGTCAGAAGGGGAAGCAAAAGGGGGGAGGCATCTTCAAAAGCCTCCCCTTCTCTTCCCCAGCATTTAAAACCCCTTCTCTCTTCGCTCCCCACCCCCCGCCTGCCTTGGCAGGCCGGCTGGGGCAGGGGAGGCTTTTGAAGATCCCCCCTCTTTTTGCTTCCTCAGCCAGCCTGCCAAGGCGGGTGTGGGGGGGAGCGAAGAGAGACGGGATTTAAAGTTTAAACCTCTTCTCTCTCCATTCTATTCTAGGGGGCCATAGAATAGAATGGTGAGATCGCGCCGCTACTGCGGTGA